TACTGTAGGCACCATTCATAATCTAAAGGCAACACCTACAAAAAGCCTCTGGAAGTGTGCTTACAGTATTTAAGGGACACTCCGCGGCTATTGGGCCAACTCCACCAATCAGGAGGAGACAGCCACGGACATTGCCGTTCGAAAGCGCTGGAGACGCTGTAGTACATATGCCAGGCCTGTAGATGGTGCTGTTCTCACAGAATCAGCCCATGCAAAGACTGTGTTAAATCGAGCGAAATGAGGAATGGCTAAAATGCATGATCTGTTTGGTATTTTGAAAAATGAAAAGTATAAATATGCCTTATATAGGTATGGTCCTACACTATATTATTCAAATATAGCATGATAGGTCCACTTTAATTAACCTATCTCCCGTACCCCCTGCAGTACCCCAGCGTACCCCTAGGGGTCCGCGTACCCCCATTTGAGAATCACTGGTCTAATCCAATCCAACTTTATTTATATAGTACATTTAAAAACAACAGAGTTGACCAAAGTGCTGTACATCAATAAATATATAAAAAAGCAGCATAAATACATTTAGACGAAACCGATTGGACAAAAAAAAACTAATGTAAAAGCACGAGACAACAAAACCATACTGATAGTCACAGACTGGAAAAACCCTCATAAATGATGTAAAAACATTTTAAAACACAACAAAATAAAAACCGGGAGAACAAGTAGGTCTTTAAACGAGATTGTCAACACATTACACCACTTATATTCATTATGGTATACTGGTGCTTCAACATGGACCAAGTGTCATAAATGCATCCTGACGTGATGTTTCTGTGTGTTTTTGCAGAGTATGGCCTACATGATCAGCGGCAACATGGACAACGGAGCGACTGAATTCCAGATCGAAGCTGCCATCAGCAAGATCTTTGCCTCTGTAAGGTTTTACATCACACTACAGTTAAACATGCATAAAGAAGCGAATCATCCGTCTTGATGCCTCGCATAATGGTTTGTAAACAGTGGTGGGAAGTAACTAAGTACATTTACTCAAGTACATTACTGAGGTGCAATTTTGAAGCATCTGTATTTAAATATATCCATTTTATGCTTCTTCTACAACACATTTTGAATGAAATATTATACTTTTTAGTTCAGCACAATATTTATTTGACAGCTTAAGTTACTTACCACTCATTACAACATTAAACCATAACTTATGATATATTCTAACATTTAAGTTTGCCATTATTTAAAATGAGCTTCACAGCTGAATATTTAGGTGATTAAAGCATACATAATTGATGCAGTGAATTGTATACATTCTGAATAATAAGTTATTTTACTTTATATACTTGAAGGTTATTTTAATGCTAATACGGTTGTACTTCTCTTAAGAAACTGTTAGAACGCAGGACTTTGTAGCAGAGTATTTCTACACTGTAGTATAACTCATTCTTACACTTTGGCTCAAAGCCTTTTAAAAAATATCTGTTTCTTTTCTAATTGTTTTGTATTGTAATCCCATTACTTCTCACCCGTGTTAATGCTCTGGGGAACTCAACTCCTATTTCAAAAATACTTCTGTTCCTTATTCTGTGTAAGACTTGTTTTCTGCATTTTGTATATTACAGGAAGCAGCATGGAATGTGACTGACGAGTGTATTCAGGTTATGGGCGGCATGGGCTACATGAAGGTGAGCGCTCCGTCCACTTCCTGTTTCATACTAACCTGAGCGCCCCAGAGAAGATGCTCGGGACGTAAAGATTCAAGCAATTTATACATTTAGTTTTACTTGCTGTAATTTCAAATGAGGATTTTCAGTATCATTCATCACTTTGTAAATTGTATATCTTACTGCTGCACCTTTTGAATCATCTGTTCAAACACACACACAGCACTTGTTTGTTTTCGAGGGGAACTACAAACCTACCTTGCCTTCTTGGCAGTGTGCAACATTTCCCCATTTGTTTTTCCAACGCTATACTTCCCGATACTAATTGTTGACCTGGAACTTTATTTCCCGCTCCACAGCCTTGATCTATTTACACTACATTAGCATACTGCCATCTCTCTATATGTTGTCATCTTAACCTCATCATATTTACTTAACCGCTTCCTTCAACCCGAGCTGAGCATTGTTTTTCCAAACGTTGTATTTCAATGATGACATCAGACGAGCGGTTTAATCTTTAAAAACAATGACGTGTTTATTTGTGTAGATAAGGCAGAAGTCACAGTTTTTGAAGTTCATAAGAATAGTGGGGGACGTGAAGTTGTATCGAATATTACAAATAATAATAAACAACAACACTTTAACGAATCAATCACAATCAAAATACTTTATTTATCCAGATGGAAGTTGGGTTTTGGGATAGTTGCTCCATTTTAGGAATGTGATAGAATAAAGGTATTTATATAAAAATAGGTAGTTAAAATAAAAATGTCCGAAAAAGATCAAATGGAATAGAAACATGTATAAAAACATAGAAGTTTGAGTAAAAAGTCCAATAAAATAAAAATAGTTTGAGTAAAAATGTCCATTAAAAGATGCATATAAAATAAGAAGTTAAAGTGTGTGTGTATATATTATATTGTTATATATAACAAGTACAACACAATAAAAACAGTGTTGTATCATTAATAGGATGGTAATGCACAGTTTAACTGTAGGCTGTCTTGGTGCACATTGTACTTGAGAACTTACCAGCGTGCTGAAAAAATCCATTGAGTCTTTGAAGTTCTTCCAGATCTAAAAAAAAAAAATCCCTAAAAATCTGAACTGAATTTGGACTCATTGTGTAACATACCACACATGTATCATCATGCCACACATCTAATTATTTTACAGTTAACTCAAATAACTACAAGAATGAGATGTGTGGTATGAGCTGTCTAAGAAGTAAAAGGGGAAACACAATCAACAGCAGACTTTGATCAGTTCTGCTAATGGAGGATATTTCGGACTCTGGGTTTCATTTTACCCAGGAAGTCAAGTCAGAAGTATTCCCTTTATGACCATTTCTGCTCTTCTGTGCAAAAAACGCATCGTCTGCAACAGTACCTTGCGAAATTCAAACACACACACACACATAAATATAGAAGGACCTGTTCCTGTTGCAGCTTGTTTTTTCACTCCCTAGTTTGAACCGTAAGCTGACATCCAAACGGCTCGTACATGTAACATATGATATTAAAACACAGCTCATCGCCTCATCATGCAAATGTGTTATGTTCAAATTACAGTCAGTTTTTAAACAGTATAAATAAAAAAAACAAAGAACATGCCTTGTGCCGTGAATCTGAGATCACTTCTTTTTTTAGGAGAGGGGATAAAAACAGACGAAATGCAACTTTATTAAGAAGTACAAAGCAGTCCTATTAAATGGAAATACACCTGATATTTGACTGACCTCAAGAGAAAATGTACATTTAGTGCATTTTTAATAGTCAATTATCTTTTTATATGGGATTGTTTCAGTTTATTTATATATATTATTAGATTATAAGTTCATCCTCTTGCTGTCTCTGCAGGACGCTGGAGTGGAGAGGGTGATGAGGGATCTGAGAATCTTCCGGATCTTCGAGGGCACCAACGACATCCTGAGACTCTTCGTGGCCCTCAATGGCTTCCAGGTAAAATCACACTCGGCTCTGGTGATGTGACATTGTCTGTCCGTGTGAAAAAGAACAGACGTTGCGTCAAGCGGAAGTGAGTTGATCGTGAAGCAACTTCCTTGTACCACTTAACACCAAGGATCTGTGTTGGTTGGAAAAACACTTCCTTGTCGATTTCTTCTTTTTTTTTCAAAGCAAAGCAGTCTGGGTTCCTCGGCCGTAGCTTCTGTCGTATTAGAGGAGATTGTGGCGTGGCGTACACATGAAATATCTCACCCAAACTAATGTGAATGTTCCTGAGTCTGATGCAAGACAAGTCATTGTTGTTATTTCAGCAGTAATATCATGAATAAGAGAATAAACCTCAGTTAATCTGATGCGTAGGCCTTGATTAGTTTCAACATTAAAAACCACCAACTGTCCGGTTTCACCAAAGCCTTGAGTCAGATTCCGTTTGATGCACAGTCATGCACTTAAGCCAAGTAACAGGGTCACAGACAAGGAAGTAAATGCACAAATTTCGCGTGAAAAACTACTGTTGCTTTGGTATGCAGGATCCCATCACTTGTTTCTGAGATTCTGACAGAGCCAGTTAAGCGATAATCATCAATAAATAATGTGTGTCCCTCTCTGCTTCCCGCCAGAATGCTGGGAACCAGTTGAAGAGCTTACAGAAGGCCATGAAGAACCCCATCGGCAACGCTGCGCTGCTCGCTGGAGAAATCACCAAGAGAACCAAAAGGTTGCATCACAACACACACACACACACACACACACACACACACACACACACACACACACACACACACACACACACACACACACACACACACACACACACACACACACAGACTTCACACTGTCTGTATCCTTTTGTCTGGGGGATATGAAGTGTCACACTGCAGTAGCTGATGAGGGGGAGATGGGGACTTCCACTATAATGCACAATACATGATGCCATTTCTTTAAGTTTCAATTCCATCCTCCATTGCATGACTCTGCAGGAGCAGAAACGGCTCAATTGTTAGCTCATTAGCTAATAGTGGATTTACTGTCTACAAGTAATGATGTCACAATTCAAGGAATTAAATGTGTTTTTGTCTCCATTTCCTCCTTGACTGTGAAGTGAAAGTAGACACCTTAAGTTAGAGCCAACAGACACACACACACACAATCACCATTTACTGCGCTTTCTAGAAATGTTACAGCTAAAACTAAATTTGTATTTTCATTTTTCCTTCAACTTGATTGCACAATAACGTTATTAAATACTTCCCAGCGGCACTGATGCAGCACAGGTGATCTGCACTTGCTCAGCCCTGTCTGATCTAACATTGTCTTCTTGTTCTATTGTTTGTAGAAAGGCGGGTTTCAGCACAGGTCTGACTCTGCAGGGCTCTGTGCATCCTGAGCTGGCTCACAGCGGTGAACTGGTGGGTTAAACCTTTCTTTGTTTAAAGTTGAGGCATTTATTTCACACTTTTCTTGATAAGGGTGTGATACGTTTTGCATCGTTGACTTAAGTTATTTGTTACATTTTATTTGTAGGCCGTCAAAGCCATCGAACAGTTCGGAGCTGTCGTCGAGGAGCTGCTGATCAAACACGGCAAGAAGATCATTGGTGAGTGTGTGTGTGTGTGTGTGTGTGTGTGTGTGTGTGTGTGTGTGTGTGTGTTTGTACGTACAATTCTAATGCGTTATCTGTTCATTTATAAAAAAAAATAAAAATGTTGTGTCTGGTTTCGGATGATGGCTCGATGTTATGTTGCTCGTGGTTTATCAAATGAAAATATCTCCTCACACATCCAACTTAAAAACGGCCACATGTAGAAAAAAAAAAAAAATCTCTTTCTCCTACGTGTAATCATTTCAGACGTTGACTCAACTTTTTCTGTTACAGATGAACAATTTGTCCTGAAGAGAGTGGCCGACAGTGCCATCGACCTCTACGCCATGGTGGTGGTTCTGTCCAGGTACGCAAACAAGAAATAAAAACGACTCTCTCTCCGTCCCCATTTCACTTCCTCTCTGCTTCAAACTCCCACTCACCTTCTCTCTGGTGTACTTGTATTCCACCTACAAACTCACTTTCCCTCCCTCTCTGCAGGGCCTCACGCTCTCTGAGTCAGGGCGGCCCCACAGCTCAGCACGAGAAGATGCTGTGTGAGACCTGGTGTGTGGAGGTAAGATCACAGGAGCCTAGAAACACTGAAAACAATATCTACATTTATCATACAAATTCAATTAATTCAATATTGCTTATAGGAAATGTAAGCGCCCCGTCACATAATAGCGTATATTCTACAGCTCAATTGATACAATGGAATTATACTTGACATCCTATTTTCATAGAAGGAATATTCAAAAAGATAATGTTTGGTTATGAGGATGAGATTGTTGTTATTTAAAATGTTCTAGATTCACATTTTGGTTTTTGAACGATTTCTCAATGCTCTTAATTACACGCAATTATTTGGAGATGTTATTATCCGTCTAAATATATGTTATGCTCCTTCCACCCCTCAGGCCCATGACAGGGTCATGACTGACATCAAGTCCCTGCGCTCCAGTGAGTCCAGACAGCTCTTCAAGAACATGAAAGCCATCTCTGCAGCCGTGGTGGAGACTGGGGGGGTGGTCGCTCCTCACCCTCTGGGTTTCTAAACGCACCACGCCCCCTGAATCGGAATCAATCTGGTTTTTGTTTCGTTTGACCCTTCCACATCTCTAACCAGGTTAAGGGCCGTGTAGATCAAGTCCTTTATGACCTTTACCATTTTGTTATGCCATAATTGCTCCCACATCACACATCGTGACCTTTCTATCTGCTTTGTTGCACCTACAGTTTTGGGCTGAACGACTTGCACAGAAACCACAGTTTAACTTTTTTATTATCTCGTACTGTAATATCTTCATTGCGTTTCTGTGTCTGTGTGAACACGTTAATTTATATGAAATTATGAATTAGCTATTTAAAATGGGACGATAGGAGAGAAATCTTTTAGCCCGTATACCACCTGGATTTAAAGCAGTAGATTTCTCCGATGTGTGCATGAGCTTGAATAATGTCATCATTTATTCTGTTAAAACATTCAGTTATGGTGTTTTGTTTTTTTTGTTTGATGGAAAACTACATGTCAATGTAACTTTGAGGAGCAGAGGCCAGTTAACAGAGAGAGATTTGAACTTATCTGTTTTTAGCAACTTTAACGTAATGACACTTTTTCCTCCACTTTGATTTATACACTTATCTAGAATGTGTTCAAATTGATATAATGGTGTGGTGCTTATGTACTTGAATGCCTTTGCGTGTTAAGCTAACTGCTCATCACAGAAACATTAATGTCTGGAGCAAACCCTTTGCCTTAGAAACTGCTGTTGCAAGTTCCTGTTGTGACTTCACATAAAGAGAGCTTCAAATGTTAAAACAAAAAGGTGATCTTCACTCTTTACCAATACGGTCACATTAACTCACAGCTAAAGATAGCAGACAGCATTAATTGTAGAACTGTTACTCTGCATACCTGGTGCTTTAAATAAACCATTTCTTGTACAATAAATGCACTCAATTTTAATCTTCTGTCCAAGCATTCATGAAACTTAAATTAGATCTGCACATTCTTCCCTCCTATCACTCGTACTGTGATCATCCATGCTGCTGTTAAGAAAGAAAGACAACTATCAAACATGTTCGTTTTGTTGATATAATAACATAATCACATGCTTCTTTGTGTTATCTCAAATGAATGTCCAATTTCCTTCGATGGAGTCAGTGTTTGTGCAGATTTTCTTTGAGGTTTCTTGGTAAAATAACACACCTTCCTAATGAGATTAATAAATACAATTTAAATTCATCTGCCAGACTGCTTGTCTTTCTTTACTTGCATCCCTGAGAGCAAACATTGTCAATTGTTTTTAATGTGTTGCGTATATAAATTCCCAAGTGTTTAAATACGTTGAATGTGGCTTTCAACAGGCCAAACTTCTCATATTGTTTTGTGTTTCTTGTAGGCTACAAGCTTCAAAAATAAATATAAAATCTTAAATCAATTCCACCATAGCATCAAGCACCCCCCCGCCAAAAAGCCTTCCTGTCACTTGTGTTCAAATAATCTTCAACTTTGCTTTCACTTCCGCAACCCGAGTTATTCCAGAGTATTCACACTTTACAAGAATGCCAGTAAGTGCTTCGCCACCAGCTAGCTTCTGGTGCTTATTTGCGCTTTGAAAAGAAGACCGGAATCCCCTTCTGCTCATATTTACACTGACTTGAAAAGTTTTGCAGCTGTTGGTGTGAGACTGAAAGATAAAGGAAAGCTGTGGTTCAAACATTGAGAAACTCCCCAGCAAGTGTGGCTTTGTCTGATTTAAAACTAGGAGCTCAGCAACCACCGTGCAAAGAGTCTACAAAATCAAATGTCCTAATTTTCTTGTAAAAGCTCCCCGCTGATTCTGCAAATTCCTTTCTCAGCAATAGTAGGCTACATTTCGAGTGGTAAAGCGTTCAGAGGAAGATTAAAGCAAAGCAAGATTTTCTTTATGTAGACTGTATATAATGATGGAAATATGTTTATTAACTGGAATGCTGATAGCTAGATAAGAAGATGGATAACGGTATCAATCACACCCATCTGGGCACATTAAAAGGAAAGCTAACCAGCTACGCTAGAAGGCTAACCTATAGCTAATGAGATCCACCAAACAGCAATTTTAAAGCTCACCATTATATATTTTGTTTCGTTAATAGAACCACTGGAAATAAGTTAAATTAAGATATAAAACATACATTTTAAACTGAAAACGCTATAGTAAGACATTATTTTAGTCTTTGCTAGCTGTGTCCAGCTTTGTTAAAACAAGCTAACGTCTCGTCCTTGTGATTAGCTTGGTTTTGGTTCTATACTGAGGCTGAGCCAGGGTCACAGATTTTGATATCAATGTTGATGCAGTCTTTTGTGAGTAGCTAATAATATATCATATTGGAGAGAAAATGTGTCATGATTGGTTTTCCTCTGAATATATGTAATTAGATTACCATGGCCTACCACCAAATAACAGGCCAAAAATGTGCATTTCTTTAAACTACTTTCTGTTCACTGTCCTTTCACATTCTTGTGAAACTAGCTTTTAATGTTAAATACTACATGTTTTTTGTTTGAATTATATGATGCTTTGGTGTCCTTCCCTTCAGAGGAGAGGTGTATTGTTCTTCTCTTCTAATCCGAATTTTTCTATCTTGATTTGTGCTGATTGCTGTAAGTATTTAAGTTGCCATTAAATTCACATTTTTTAATACCCACGGGGTTATGAACACATGAAGACAATATTCACAAGAGGATAATATTGAAATATCCTTTATCGTCTCTCCCAGTCATTTGAATCCCAAATCGTTGAAGGCTCTTTGTGGCCTTGAGGTCAGCCAAGTGAGCTGGTCACCTGAAGACTCAAGGCTTAAATGTCTGGACAAGCCAAAACATTTTACAAAAAGAGAACTTCCCACTTTTTCTGAAACCACATTGTCTCCTTCTGCTTCTTCAAGCAGCTCCAATGTTCGCGCTGTGGTGAAAAAGGTCAAAAACAGTGTAGTGCAACGTGCTGATCAGGTCTCAACATTCTCTATTGAGGAAAAAAGATCCTATGATGTCCAAGGCGGTTTCTTAAGGTCCATCCAGGCCTGAGTTGAGCCACTTTTGGTAATGTTCCTGTTGTTAGATAATCCTGAAATGTACCTGATTTTTTCCCCTCAGGCATTGTCCGTATCGTAGGTACAAGACTCTAAGTCCAGTGAGGAACTCCTGATTGATATTGCCTGTGTTTCCTCTTCCTCTGGGTCTGTAGGGTTCGGTAGGGAGATGATCGTCTGTACTGTCAGTGTTCGCTCCCTGTGGGGAAAATAAGGGTAAGCTGAAATAACACAAAGCAATGTGCTCAAGAACATATTTTGTGGGTGAACACTCATGTAACACATTAAGAAGGGAAGTATTTCACTGTCGTTTCTTCCACTAATTATTCAACAAATAACCGTTTCAACAAGTCATACCAGTAGTCATATACTATATTGAACTGTATGCAAATCAAAAAGTATCACACCACTTTAGGAAACAAGACACCTTTTCGTGCTATAAATCCCCCTTCTCTTTTAGATTGACTTTTGTCTTGCTCCGTTTCAGCACTTCACACTTTTCTAGATGTTATTTAGAATGTGTGAAGAAGCGTTTATCAAGCAGTAATGGAATATAGTACGCGTGAGAGGAAAGTGACACATTTCTGTAGATCATGGTTAAACGATTATTTTCAGCAATAAAATAAGTTTATTTTGGTAGCATCTGAGAACTGTTTTCCCACAGTTTAGTCATTTCATGTGACTTCGTGTGACAGTGATTACTGCATGAGTGGAAATTTAAATAAATATTTCCTCCACTATCTTTTTCCATAGTTGATTAACAACTACTATAAAAGAAATAAAGCAGCACCACTTTCTGACAAGTTGTATTGACTTGAGTAATTTTCTTGATTTGTACTCATCATCAGTAAAAGTTATAACACATTTAGGATCACCAGATTGTAAAAACTCTATGGAGCTGATTTTTTTTTTTTTATTGCCTTGTGTTATTGCATATGATGAGTTAGAAGGGATACCTCGTGAGAATGTATTGACTCAGCAAGGACTTACTTTTTGATAAGTCTTTAAAATGTACACTCTTTTTAAGGGTTGTAAATTCTGCCCACTTATGGATTTTAGGTTTATAAGACACAATACAAGTCTAATGCATCTATGTTGGACATACCGTGGTGTGTGTTGGGTGTGTGGCCAGTTGGCTCGCACTGTCCAGCCGAGGACCCTCTTCAAGTAGGAACAGCAGGGGAACGTGTGACCCACCTGCTCCATTAGTTCCTCTTTACGCAATCCATAAACAATCGGTGCAACACACTGCGCCAAGCTGAAAAAAGCGAAGATAACCACGGCTGCCAGCTCTTTAGTCTCCTGATGAATGAGCTTCTGTTTGAACAACACCGTCAACACGAAGTTCACAAAGTTAGGAAGGATGTAAACAGCCAACTGGCTTCCATGCAGGGCGATCGTCCTGCACCCGGCCTTATTGCGCCGATTCAACACCCCTAATCTCCTTCCCTCTACTAGAATCCTCACGTAGCTGTACATTATTATTACCGTGCACACACCTATGAACAGCACCTTCTGCAGCTCGCCTTTTTTAAGCTGTTCCCTGTCACACACCCCATTATACTCGGTCTGGGAGTCCGGCTGGAGGAGCAGACTGAGGGGAATGACCAAAGCCACAATCCAGGTGAGCGCACCCAGCATCCAGGGCCAGCGCCCCGCGGTGCAGGTGGAGCTGTAGCGCATGGGATGGCACACCGCGCAGTAGCGGTCCAAAGCCATCACCGTGAGCGTCAGGAGGATGTTGCAGGCGCTGCTGATCAACACGGTGATCATGGCCAAGCAGGCGGAGCGCACCGGCCGCGCGTGCAGGTGGATCTGGTAGTAGAAGACGCTGCTCATCCCCAGGTAGAGCAGCGCGGAAACCAGCAGGTGGAACACCAGCACGAAGCGCGCATGACTCCGCAGACGCTCGACGCGAAGTATGGTCCAGTTGATGATGAGGTTGAAGAAGAGCAGCACCGAGAAAGACACGGTGGACACGTAGAAACGCACGCAGGTGTAGTCCGGCACATGTGTTGGGGCTGTGGTGCTGTTTGCAGGCATTATTCCTCAGCTCGGTTCGGTTGGATTCACAGAATGAGGAGGAGGAGGAGGAGGAGGATGGAAGTGGAATTGATGGGAAGGAGAGTGTATCCCCCGCATGATCCTCTGACACTGCTGTCTCACTGACTACTGAGTTAAGACGATCCACCTCCCTCTCTCTCTCTCTCTCTCTCTCTCTCTCTCTCTCTCTCTCTCTCTCGCTACCAAAAGTAAAACTATAGGATTCCCATTAAGATAATTGATAATGTTTATCTTTATATGCTGCTGAATAGCTTTTGAATTTAACCTATAATAATATATTATACTTTATTAAATTATTATATTGTTGATTTCAATCTGACCCTTCAAGCCATCTAAAGCTATCAAATAAATAAGTAAAATAATAATATTTCCCACAGAGATGTAGAGTAGTGTAGCTACAAAGGGTAAGACAAGGGTCTTTCTGCACAATGCATTTCAAAGTATGGTAGTATTCAAGTATCTCATTCTCAATAGATGGCTGTTATAGTTTAAGAATATGCTGCCACCTTCTGCTGACAGCAGGAATAGCTGGCCAGTCAGAAGTGATGTCACTGCCTTATGGGTTGCATGTAAAATGAATGGGAATCTCAGGTGTGTTAAAAATAGGAAAGGTCTCACTTTTCCTGCTCCAACAGCTGCATCAAGCTGAGGGAGACATCACAAAGAGTGTCCCTGCACACGGCACTGTCCAAATCAGGCAATAATTGAAATCACGGGCTGATTGTGAGACAATGCCGATGGGCACAGGCATGCCGTCATTTTTGTGTCTCTTCATGGTATCTTTATATCTCTTGTAGTCATTTAGTGTCTCTTTGATTTAATTTAGCTCAAGGTAGGAGATCCCTTTATGCTTTGGGATCACTTTTCAACTTCTTGGTTATAAAGTCATGGTGGAGCCTCCGCATGAGGATACACTTTGAACTGGTCACCTCTCTTTCTAAATCTCCCTGCCAGTTCGGTCTCGTGCCTTTTTTTTTGGGCTCTGTTTCTTAAATCCTGGATCATGCACATCCATATTCAGATACATGCAGAGGGTCTTTCACATCATCCTCACTGGCTCTTATACAGTTACAGATCATACTGCATTTGTGGATGCCGTCTTAGGACATGAATTGTAAGCAAATGACCTATAGCTGTTTGTTTATTGAACTTTCCTCCCTATATATTGATAACCTTTTCCCATTCTTTCAGGAGCATACAGTTTAACTGATATCTTAAGCTTCATCTTCATGCAAAAATGGCAGCCTTGGTGCTGCTGTCAGCCGAAACTTTACATTTTTTCCTACTTAATCTTTACATTTGTCAAGCAATTGTTCTCCTCTGTGGTGAAACGTTAACAGCCTCAGAGAGCGTGTGCAGCTCTTGTGGTTTAGACCTGAGTTTCAGTCCTATTTTTGTTTTACCCTTTCACAATCCACACACCTGCAGGGGGTGTCATTATGCTGCCCTCAGCTTCATATTTGTTTGTCAATATATATGCAAAACAAAATGGAAATATAGTAGCCATATCAGAGACTTGCAGAGGCAGAGTTAATAATGTCAGTATGTTTCCACCTGGAAATGTTTGTGTAATTCCACCTTTCAAAGATCACCAGTAGATAATCTTTTATAACATGATCTATAATATGTGCTGAAGGCTTAAATACTGAGCTTCATTAGGTATGGCTATTTGTCTACCAATTGTTAAATAGGGCCAAATATTTGCACTATTGGCACACCAACGATGGATGTAGGACTTAATAAATTGACTAAATTTGCTAAAGAAATGCTAAATATTATTCATAACCTTGAGAACGACTGAATGCAGGCAAACAAATCAAGGTTTGAATGTCAAAGTACAATATCCATTTCCAAAGTCAACTAATGGACAATAAAAATAAGTATTTCCTGTTGTAAATCTTGCATTCAAACTATGGGCAAAGGTTTCCCTTTATGCTTGAAATCACGCCCTCTCCCTTAACTTATTCTATGATCTAGAGTGACAATAAAAAACATACTACTAAGAAAGCCAAGTTATTTATTAACCAATAAGTAGCTCGGTCATGCTAAAATGTAAGTTAGCTTGTAGCTGTGTGTGTGTGTGTGTGTGTGTGTGTGTGTGTGTGTGTGTGTGTGTGTGTGTGTGTGTGTGTGTTTGTGTGCATGCGTGGGTGTAATTTCCAGGGAAATAGAAACTATGAGAGCCAACCCCTTTGCGGTGCAGCGGATTTTTTTATCACTCATTTTAAGCTTGGGTGCTGGATGGATTAATCTTTCTTTTGACTTTTCTACCGATCAAGAAACCAGTGATTAGGTAAGAAAACGTTTGTACAAAAGCCTTTTTCGCAGTCTTTGGCTGATGCTGAGCCTGAGGCAATTTATAATAAATGTAAGATTAGGTATAATTTGACTTTCAGAGATTGGTTTAATTATATTGTAGATAACTTTACAGTTAATGCGTAAGAAAGGATTAAACATGTGTTGCTCAGAATGATAGATGGAGATGCCATGCTTTGAGTTTTTCCTAATTTGTTATGGCAAGCTTCCATGGCCACATTTACCATTAATGTATAAAACCCATGATAAAACCCCATATATCTGCCAGCCTCTACTATGATATAATTGTGTGTCTTTTAGGAAATGGACCAAGAGTCTCTTTAAATAAAGCTGATGATGATGATGATGATAGCAGTCAGGTTGTAATGAAAATGTTGGATTTAATCATTTTACACTGATATTTGGTTTTATTTAACTATTTAAAATCCAAGATTACTATTGCAAAAGAGCAATGGGTAAAAATAACTCATATTCCCTGCATCATGGCAATTAAGATGAGTTATATTTTCACCATAAATGTTTATAATTTCCCCTGATTTAGAATTTAAACGAATAAGCAACCTCTAATCAAAGCTAGTTAGCCAATTGGCTAGCTTGAGCATATCTCTAGGCTACATTATGCAAAAGTCGTTTAAAAAAAAAAAGATATTTAAAACTGTAGAATAATGCATTTGGTTAAGTAAAGTGGTGAATAATAAACATGTCTTCATAATGAAAATGGCTTTTTAAAAGCATTTATTTCCAAACTGTAGACTAATAATTTCAGCAAATGTTACTAGCTAGTGAAGCTACGACGTCCGAAATTAGCTCGAAAGTTAGCTAGCTAACTATCTGAAGCTCTGTGGGTTTGTTATTTCTTTATGATGATATAAAGTACGAGAAACAACCTACTAACATCGTACTAAGCTGCCTTTATGACTTAGAATATAAATTGTAGTGCTCAAAGGTGGTATCTTATAACATCAAGCTAGTGCTGCACTTGACATGCTAGTCTAAAATGACAGTTAAGCTAGGTTTATGCTACACAGACATGAGAGAAACAAATAGCATAGCTATTTGTAGGAAAACTATCATCGTTTGAATTGATGTTGCATTAAAGAAGTCAAATTGAAATTGTGTTCACAGGTAAGCTTTATTTGACTGTTTTCCAGGATATAGGATTTATAAAATGTAATATAATATGCATTGGTTGCACATTTGCGGCATAGATAAAGCTTTTTATCGAGGTTACATATTTATTGAAAACTAACCCATTTCATTTAAAATGCTTATGAATAAAGGTAAGTACTAGACCAACAAATCAATTCACTACAGCACCTTGAGGCAGAAATAGTGTACATTTTCTGCTTTCCTGTTAATGCTTAAGGTTGGAGTTAAGTTCATGTGTTTCCAAAGCATTGTGTCTTTACTTTGGCCAAATAAAAGTCATGCAAAACGAATTAAGATGACTCATCATATCACAGGGGAATAGGTGTGAAGGTGCTGTGACTTGTCCCAAGATGCACTGAAAATAGAGGCAGATATTGCCAGTCTGTAATAAGGATACCTTTAATACCAGCACCTGAATTACAGGTTTAATCAGCAACACTGTGGATGGTATTGTTTTAAGTAGTCTGCTAAATTCTTCCTGGCTTTACCAATGGATAGAAAGCCAGCAATTTCTGTTTAACTGTTTCTTTATTTTGTTCTATTTTTCAGACATGGCCGTCCACCAGCAGCCGACCCAGGTGGTGACGGTGATGCGCACAACCCAGGGCCCTGGGGCATGGAGCACCGGCCTCTGTGACTGCTGCATGGATATGAGCAGCTGTAAGTCAACCCAACAAACCAAATATATTGAGCTCCAAATTCAAGATTTCAACACAAAGCTGTGCTCGAAGAAACCCAAAACAATGTGTCTTGAGTCAGGGTTCACATCATTTTATTTTCCTTCTTTTCTGCCGTAAAGGTTGCTGTGGTTGGTGGTGCTTTCCCTGCATGCAGTGTCAGACTGCTGGAGATCATGGATGGTGCTGCTGCATGCCGCTGTTGGACTTCTGTTGTGTGGTGTCCTGCTTACTCCGCTCCTCCATCCGAGAGCGCCATGATATTCCGGTAAGAGCAAAACGGCACAATTGTCTAAGATGCAGTCACTACATTTTACAGCTCGGTTAAAAAGATTGTCTGAGCTGCACTTTGCATGATTTGGCATTGCCGCTAGTATTATCCCATTGATATTGGGATCTAGTTTAATGTAAAATGCAAATTTAAGTAGGAAAGTTCCAGTCTAGGAAGTGACCTGTTGTTGTGATAGCCTTTGTGACAAGGTGCAGCTGTGAGGTGCAACACTTCCTGAATTTATTCTACCTGAACACTGTTCACTCTGCATATTTTCACAACCACACCCTAGTTATTGCATACTTTCAAGCTGTTGTGTCATATTGAGGCCATTGTAAAGGGATACATAAAGATGTATTAATATATTCCAAACAAGAAAAGCATCAAACAAAATAAACATTATCAAAAAGAGAGGATAGAAGCAAACAAGAGCAACACATAAAAATAAAAACGCAACAAAAATATAAATCATAAGTAGATAATGTGAGATGAGTTTAAAAAAGAGCTGAATTTGATAACATAATAAGGAATTCCAAAGTGTAATGAAAAATAAATACCTACATGTTTTAAACAATTGGAATAGCCAGTACACACTGTTTAGCAAACCAGAGGAACTTAAAGTTGCAATATCTGTTCAATAATTTAGAAATGTACTCATAAAGAGAAGTGTGTCAGAGGTAATAGATTTTCTACTAAATACTGAATGTTGAGGAGAGATTAACAATTATTATTTATTTATATTTAAATCTAATCATTATCATCATAGATATATTACATGGTGGACTGATACACTCAGGTTGGTCCAGATGTATTTTGTGAGGCACATCATGTTATATAACCATAGCTCAGGTGTGTTCTGTGTGCTTTTCATTCAGAGCATTCAAGCCACCAAAACACTGAAGTACGACTGGTATTACATATTCAAATAACATTGTCCTGTTCAGCAGGATATATCAATGCTATGACAACACACACAAATTGTTTTCAATACAAACAGAAGACATAATTATGCTCAAATGAGAGGTAAGAAAGCGGAGATTCCAAGGTGGAAGAGTTGATTGTAAAAAGCAACAGAGATTGTTGAAGATAAGTGAAGAAGATCAGAGTGTAGGCATAATGGTGTGTGTGTAACAGGAAGGCCAAAGAAGATATGTGAAGTTATGGTTAGGGAGGAAATGCAGCTGCCTGCAATACTGCATGTTTCAGAGCACAGGAAGAGATCAAAACAAATGATCATGAGCACCTCAAGAAGTTTTGATCTAACATGGTGTTGGACGTAAATAATGTTATTTTAGGAGACAAAAAAGTTTGTACACTCCCTGCAGACGGACTCAGTCAGGGAGTTGCTGAAGAATATAGTGAAGCATTAAGCAGTTCAAGAAAAAGAAAGGGAGGAGACCAAAGCAGAGTTAAATTAAAACAAATATTTAATTTGCATTCACCAGTTGGACACAAAGATGACTCCAAATTGTTGGCTGTTTGAGTTTGTTCTCCTTGCCTCCAAGTTTTAATTATACTGCTCAACTTGCAACCTCAATTTATACTCGTAGTGTCATTAAATATCCAGGTAATAAAACATTTTGGCAGCAACTCTTCATTTTATTCCAGTATTCGAGTAAGTTCAACAAATTGTCTGTTTCAATACGTCTCTGAACGGCATAGTTTTGACTGTTGGATTTATCCCGTCTCTTCGTCCTCCTGCAGGGCTCGTGCTGTGACGACTGCTGCAAGTTGATGTGGTGCTACCCGTGCGTCTGGTGCCAGATGCATCGTGAGGTGAAGATCAGGAAAAACCGACCGACCAACAGCTCAGTGGTCACCACGCAGGTTTATCCAAGATAGGACACAACCCGTTTTGTTTGTGGGCTAAGGGTTTGCCACATGTTCAAAATATAGCCTGCTAGTTCTGCCTACAACTCCTTTTATATACTGATTTTACAATGACATATAATGAAGCTTTTAGCATTTAGCACTGAAGCTAGTAAACATAGTTTTGGTAGTGATGTGTTTTTTGTAATGCCTAGATTGTAGATTTAACTTGAGATTCACTTTTGAAGCAGGAGTTAGCATGTTAGCACGTTGGATGTTCTGATACTGTATAATGTGGTTCCTGTATGAGCTTCTATTCCATCTTTCCAATAAAGTATTGCTATTTCAGTTAACAAACTACATCTAGCAACTTTTTTCCCCCAACACAATCACATATTTTTTCAGCTATAGGTAAAACTCTCCAGTTCCGTTTTTAAGATCATGTCTGTATCTGAAGGTTTTGACGGTTTCCCACTTCTCTTTTTTATCATGAAGTGAGAGTATTTTAATTTACATATTGCGTCATGTCCTGGTTTGACGCTTAGGTTCACTGCACAGGAGACGTTTAAGATTTTTTTAATCAAAACTGCCTACATTATTTTTGTTTATACATGTAAGTGAGATTACCAGTTTCAGTTTGAGAGGAGATCACTTTAATAATGGATTAAATTGGCTGTTAAGTATAACATATTTTTTACCAGAGATGGTGCACAGTCTTTATACATCGCTGATAATGATGTGTGATCATCATTCTTTGTTTCATGATTACTTTTTAAATATACCCAAAAGGTAGTTAGGTCTGCTTTTGCACAGAAATAGAATCAAAGCACCAGAAAGCATCAAACTTAATGCTAAAAGATTACAAATAAAACTGACAAAAATGTGATATTTGTAAGCATACAATTAAAAACAAATGGAGAGAAAAGATTCAAAAAAGATTAAACAGTATAAATCTGTATTTTAGTTTAAATTGAGCAGTTTTTTTAAGGAAGTTCATTGAGTATCCTTCAAGATAAGTATTACAAATGACAAACAAAAAAATAATGTTTTGGTTCATTTCAGCTCATAATGCCAGATTCTACTTATCGTGTCCTGTTGCGCAAATTGTCCTCAGTTCCGTAAGGAAACCTTCTGGCAGCAAATGTAGAAATATTCATAAAAAAATCTGGGTGTGTTTATTCTGACCACTCTGTTCCCCAATCTTGTGTTATTCATTCGAGAAACTTCTCCAAGTTACTGTAATGTCCTTATTACCGAGCATTGATTAGTAAAAACATATTTGTTTACATCACATTTGGATCAAACTGAAACACGAGTTCATTTGTTCCTTTATGATTGAATAATAATTACATCCTGTCACAGTTTTTATGATATTGTGAAATAGCGCTTCATTTCTCAATACCACCACGTGTGATTGCTCGGAATGTCAACTCTACTTCATTTTCTCGTTTAGCACTTGAGTTTTTATTCAGTATCTTTGAATGTGTTATAGTTTCCCAGTTAGTCTCTCCGTTTCCGGACAGCTCGTCTTTTCTGAAGGTGTGCTTATCACAGACTTTGGCCTTGATTAGGATATCTGCGTAACCAAGACCTTTGAGTTTCAGTTGTATTGAGGACGTGGCCTTGAGCTCAGCAAACTCCCCTTTTCTTCTCTCCCAGGATCCTGTGAAGTCTAGGTTTCATTTTTGTATAAGTTGAGAGTCACAGACAGGGCAGGGGGACGAGGAAAGGGTGTGTGTAGTGACAGGACTGCAGAGGAGAAGAAACACACACTCTGTAGTAGACAGTAAACGTACTCATTGATGCTGGTCATATTCATGTTACCTGTTCTCAGAAATATACCAAAATATAACAAAGTGGAACTGGATCAGGACGTATTTTGTGTATTTTGGTACACATGTTTCTTATTTACACAAGCTGTATAAATAGAAAAGTATTTCAAACGAGTTAAACACAACTGAAATGGTGATGATATGTTTTGTTTGTTTTTGCTGCCCCCCAGTGGCCATAAATATATTAAACTAAATCTTAAACCCATCCATCTTCTCCCGTTTATCCGTGGTCGGGTAGCGGAGGTACCAGTTCCAGCGGAGAGCCCCAAACTTTCCTTTCCCTGGCCACATCAACCAGCTCTGACTGGGGGATCCCAAGGCGCTCCCAGGCCAGCGAAGAGATATAATCCCTCCACCTGGTCCTAGGTCTACCCCTCGGTCTCTTCCCAGCTGGACGTGCCTGGAACACCTCCCTAGGGAGGCGCCCAGGTGGCATCCTAACTAGGTGCCCGAACCACCTCAACTGGCTCCTTTCGACGCGAAGGAGGAGCGGTTCAACTCCGAGTCCCTCCCGGATGACTGAACTTCTCACCTTATCCCTAA